GCTCGCCCCGCTGCGGGCCGCCGGGCCGCACGACCTGGCGGGCGAGGAGCTGGCCATGGTGCAGGGCGCGCTGGAGCTGCGCACCAAGGCGGTGCGGGATGTGCTCACACCGCTGGCCGACTGCTTCATGCTGCGGGCCGACGCCGTGCTGGACTTTGCCACCATGTCTGAGATCCTGCGCTCGGGCTACACACGCATCCCCGTCTACGAGGGCGAGCGGCGCGACAACATCGTGGACCTGCTCTTCGTCAAGGACCTGGCCTTCGAGGACCCCGACGACTGCACACCGCTGCGCACCGTCACCCGCTTCTACCGCCGCCCGCTGCGCTGCGTCTTCAGCGACACCCGCCTGGACACGCTGCTCCAGGAGTTCAAGAAGGGTGAGTCGGGCATGGGCCTCGGCCAGGGCAAGCCCCGTGGGGAGCAGGAGGCCTGCGCGTGCATCCCCTTCAGCCCTGGGGCGGGCTGGGCGCTGCGTGGCCTTGGGACGGGGCCAGGGCGGTGGTCTGCGGGGGACAGGCCCTTGCCCTGCCTGCAGCACTGTCTTGCTCGGTGGCCTTGGCCCAGTCCCTTGCTCCTGGCTCCCCGGCGCAGAGCCGGCCTCAGGAGTCTGTGCCTGGGGCAGACGCCAGGGCAGCTCACGTGGGGTTGGGACCTGTCTGGTCGCTTAGGGCCTGGTTGGGACTGCAGGAGTGTCGTGGCCAGGAGCAGGCACGTAACGGGACCGGCCGCTGGGCCTCTCTCAAAAATCCAGCTGTGGGTGTCCCCGAGCGCAGGACGGCACCGGCTGCTGGGGCCTTGGCCCGCCCTTGCTTCCTGGGAGCAGGCCGGGGGCTGGCAGCAGTTCAGCTCAGCGTGGCCCAGGGTGCATGTGTGCCGCACTGTTCCTGCAGAGGTGAGTGAGCAGGGTAGTCGGGGGTGAAGAGTGTGTCAAGCTGCGAAGAAGTAGTGTGCAAGTGACTCGGGGAGGCTTGGGGTGAGCGGGGCCTGCTGCTGCTGGGGCCTTCCATGCTGGCAGGAGCAGCCTGCTGCTGGAGAGGCTGGAGCAGGGCTGCTGGGAGAACCGTGTTCCTAGACCCTTGTTTCTCCAATCTGGAGCTGTTGCCACTGGCTGCACCTCATTCCCCCCCGGCACAGACGGTGCTCAATGCTGTCAGGGAGCTTTTCCCATCAGAGATGACTACAGCAGCAACACGCTGCATTACATAACCGTAGGAGATGGGAACCAGCAGCCTCCCGCCGTGCCTCCGGCTCCCCTGCAGTCACGCGAGAAGCCGGCTGGGTCCCTGCTCCCCGCACCCCTTCCCTGCCAGCGCGCAGGGGGAGCTGGCCTGCACGCACCCACTGATCTCAGCAATGCGCCTGCAGCAGTTTGGCATCGTGGCCCCCAACTGTGCAAACCTGAGTCTTGTGCTATGTGGATGCTGCTGTGCAGGGCATCCAAACCCTCCCCCTGGCTCAGGGTCCAGTCTCCTGCCGGCAAACAGGCAGCTGTACGTACCGTAGCCAGATCTAGCTTAAAGCCTGCTTGGGTTTTTGACCCTGCTATTCTTAAGAGCATCAACAGTGCCAGACCGGGTCAGACCAGTGGTCCATCTAGCCCTGTACCCCCTCTGACAGCAGCAGAAATGGTTGCCACATAGGGGAGCACTGACCCAGATTAGATGGACAGTGATCTTTCCCCCCGCTCAGCACCCGCCCTGGCATCAGTGCTTGTTGGCTTAGAGGTGCCGGAGGAAACAGCTCCAAGGGTCCTGTTCAACAGCCATTAACAGATCGATCCTCCCCAAGTTTATTGGGGCCCGTGCTGAACCTGGCCGTGCTCTGCCTCCGCCGCTCCTGCGGCGATGAATTTCTCGAGTTAATGACGCGTTGCATAAAAAAGTACTTTCTCATGTAAATTTTAAGCCTGTCACCTACTAATTGCAGCAGCTGCTGCCTCATTCTAGCACTGTGGGACTTGGTGAACAACAGGTCCCTGTGCACTTGTTCACACCCTTCATGATTTTATAGACCTCTGCTCCTTTCCAAACTGAAGAGCCCTGGCCTCTCCTGCTGCAGCAGCTGCTCCAGGCCACTGCTCCTTTTGGCTGCCCTTTCCATTCCCTAACATCACCACTAAGGGTTAGACACTTTCTTCTCGTTTCCAGCCCATTTATATTCATTTGCTCTTGGGCTAATACTGTCCTTCAGCTTAAATCATTCTTCTCCCTCCCGGCTGTTTAGCCCTCCCTGTATTTGTAGGCAGCAGATTGAAACCAGGGGGTTACAGCTTACAATAGCCAGGGAAATCCTGGCTTGCTTTTCCCCTGCCCTTCGTCCGACAGACCACAGGAAAGGACGGCCTATCTGGTCGCACTTCTCAGCACCTGTTTGGGTTTGAATTCGTTGTTTTGGGACGACGGGTGTACGCAGCTTCCTGCTTAAATCAGTGCCTTGGGAAATGGTGTTATGGCCTTCCCCTTCTCCACGGGGACTTCTTGCCCAACTCGGAGAACTGCCTTTGCCTCTTCCAGACCGTGTCATGCCGGCAGGTCAGTCATCCTGCGATCAGCTAGTCTCTCATCTCAGTTGCATCTCATCCCGGGGCTCAGAGCAAATGTTCGTATCAGTCCCCACGTGCTCAACGTTGCATTTGTAAAATTAGGTTTCTACCCATTTCTTTTACTCCGGGCCCCAAGATCACACCTTTCTTCCTGCACAAGACGCTGCTCCTCCTCCGCATCGTCTCGGCGCTGGGAGGCGTCATCGTCGGCAGTTTTCATGAGCACATTCCAGCTTCTTGTTCCCAAGTCTTACAATATTAAAGCGAGCCCCTAGACTGGTCCTTAAGGAGTTTCACTCCTAACTTTCACCTCAGGTGCCTAGTTGAAGGGTAAGCAGCCTCCCTTTTAACCAGGGCCTTGCCTGCTGCAGCTTCTCGTTTTCCATGTAAAATTAATAAGCTTCCTGCATGCGGCACATCAAGCATGACTCAAGTCCAGGCAACAAATCTGCTGCATTTCCTTTGTCTAGAAAATCAGTTTCTTTTGGAAGAACTACACCAGGCTCATTGGCATGGCCCGTTGGCAGGCGCCCGTTGCCCTTTAGGCACATTAAATTCACCTCCAGGTCTTTATGATTTTGCCCTCCAAAGCCCATTCTGAAAACCGCACATGCTACTGAGGGCAGATGAACGGGTCTGTAGCTGCCTGGACCACTTCCACCCTTCTGGACACACGCTGCGCGTACTCTTCTCCATCCGCTGGACGCCACCCCTTTGCCAGGAGACTTATCTACCCCCTTGCTACCAGCCCTGCTGTCTTATGTGCCTGTTTCCTCAAGAGTGGGGACAGGGGCAGAGCCTGACCCGCCCCTGCTCTCTGCACCACGGGGCACAGGGCTGTGCCTGCCACAGCAGAGGCTCCTCAGAAAGGGGGGCGACCCCCTTGCTCCCCTGTGCCTCAGATGCACTCGGGGTGAGGGGCAGCGACTATGGCTGGGGCTATTCCTGCTTTGGCAAACATTCCCAGGGGCAGGAGGCAGTTCGGGTGCCCCCTCTAAGTTGGTACCCAGGGCTGATGCCCTGCTTGCCCCCTCCTCCCCCCACTGAGTCCCTGTTCATGGCCAGGAAAAAGAAAAGTTGTGTATTTATTTTATCATCCTTGGCAAGGTCCGCTTCATCCTGACATTTAGCAATTCTCCTTTGGTCTCTAAGACAAAGCACTCTTAGTGTCAGTCTTTTTTCTTGTGGTCTGCCTCCTCACTCCTGACAGCTTTTCGGAGGCTGTCACTCACCCAGGTAGCTGGGGACCCGCTCTCTGAGTCCTCCCCATCCCCTCCTCCATGAGAAGCGGCTGAGGTGGAGGCTAGCTGATCACAGGTGACTGAGCTGCCAGCGTGATGTGCTGAGGAGGCAAAGGCAGCTCTCGGATGCACGGGCAGGGGGTCGCCGTAGAGCCATAATGCCATTCCCCAAGGCACTGATTTAAGCAGGGAGCCGTGTACAGGCACCTGTCCAAAACAATGGCTTCAAACCCAAACAGGTGCAGAGACATGCGATGAAGTAGACCCCCCCGGGCATCTGGGCTCTAGATTATCTAGATTTTTTAAAAAGAAAAACATTGAAGACATTTCAACCCTCCTCCACATCAGCTTCTTGAGCCTTCAGTTCAGCTGACATGACTAATGGCTTCCTTTCATTTCTTAATCTCTGCCCTTGGTTACAAGCCGGCTTTCCTTCCGCTTTCCTTCCTCCTTCGTTTAGCATACATTGAGTCACCTCTTGCTCACTCAGTCCAGGGACACTTGCTGTTTGCCATAAGCAAGTCTAAAACAGCCCTGAATCGCAGAGGAGTGATTGTGCAGGGAAAAAAAACCCGACACACACAACGCGTCAGCTATCACGTTCAGGACCAGATGGGCTGCACCATCATTACTAGCATTTGCTCTCCAGTTGGCATTTGGAAAGTCAGTCCTCCATACTGACAACTGTCAGCAACACCTGGTATCAAAGACCGAGTCATACCCAGGTCCAAACATTTTGCAGGACCACCTCTTTAGCCAGCCTTCCTCAGAGTGATTTTGAACCAAACAGATGCTTCTGTGTAGTCTCATGAATGCACACGGCTGCCCCACCATCTTCACTTATTTCCATTTTTCCTGACCTGCATGTAAAATTTCTGTCACCAACCACGTTAGATACATCTGTAACACCTGGTTTCACGTCCTACTGCTGAACTTGAGGTCAACATGGCTAACGACGTCTCTCTACATGAGAAGTTAAAAGTTCGTCCATGTGGCTGCTCAGGCACCTCACATTTATATGCAGAGTTGGTTCCTTAATGACTAGTGCTGGCTGCATCTCAGTCTTTCCACAAGAATAATTATTTCCAGTATCAGTGCTTTTCCTTTGCTGTCCATCCTCTGATAGGCCTCTAACATTCCCATTTACCCGATCTCTGTCTCCTAGACACTAAAGCCAGGCACGGTGAATACAAGCTCCCTTCATTTAGGTTCTGCTGCTTTAGTCTCTCCGGGCGTGCCCCCGTGTGCCTCGTGGCTGCTTAGCTCCACGTGGAAATCATTCAGACACACTGGTGCACGTTTGAATAAATGTAATAGCGGTGTAAACAGAGCAGCCCCCTTTCCCCAGTAGGGCCGGGTGCTGTATGTTGAGGCAAGTGGACGGATCCTTCCATGGACCTGTGGGAAGGGGCATTTTTGGAGGCTGCAGTGTCAGACACTCAAGCTATATAAAAACAACAGTACACATTTCAGTAGCATTGAAGGAGCTAGTGGTCTAAAGACATGACCCAAACCAGGAGTAAACAGGAGCTCCTGGCTGGCAGACAGCCCCACGCTGGCAGCAGGAAAGGACCTCATTTCTCAGACCACCTTT